TTTTTTATGTGATTAAATATTTAAATATTTTAACTATTGTTGGAATTATTACAAGATGTCAAATAAAATACTAATATCAACGTAAATCCAAGACATTAGAAGCCTATCATGTCAAAATATCCTCATATATCAATAGTATTTTTATATGATTCAAATAATTATAAATAAATATTAAAATTACTATAGTAAATATATAAAAAAATTTGTAAATTCTCCTAATTTTTAATAGCATATAATGAAACATAACGAAAATAAAATATTTCATGACTTTTTATAGCATATGCAGATATGGCCAAAGATGAACCAATCATAAATCCCGAAAAATGGAAATCAATGTGCGATTACTCCAACCGAAGATCAAAAAATTTGTAAATTCTCCTAATTTTTAATAGCATATAATGAAACATAACGAAAATAAAATATTTCATGACTTTTTATAGCATATGCAGATATGGCCAAAGATGAACCAATCATAAATCCCGAAAAATGGAAATCAATGTGCGATTACTCCAACCGAAGATCCGACGTCTGTGAATTAACCGGCGACGTCCGAATCCCCATCAATCAACGGTCAGTATTACTAGTCGCCAAATCCCAATCCAACGACTCACACAAAATCCGCCCTTACGCCCGCAAATCTGATCCGTCCGCAATGTCAAACGTCGCCCAATTCACCTTAAGATTATCCCAAATTAACGACTCTCCTCTCTGCACTCACAACCACAGCTCCCCCGCCATCGTCTTCTCCGTCGGCGGCTACGCCGGAAATTACTTCCACGACTTCTCCGACATTCTTCTTCCTCTTTTCCAGACTTCCCTTACTTTCCATGGAAAAGTTCACTTCCTCGTAAGTAACTTCCGTTGGTGGTGGGTGAACAAATATCTCGCTATATTCCAAGGTCTCTCACAGTATGAAATCCTCATATTCAATGAAGCTGATAATAATAGCTCAGCCATTCACTGCTTTCCCAAAGCAATAATTGGCCTTCATAGCAACAACGATTTGATGTTAAAGAAAGGAGATTCTATGGTTCAGTTCACAGAGTTTTTGAGAAGAGCTTATTTGCTTGAAAGAAAAGAGCCTATTAAACCAGAAGAACTAGGTGTGAAAAAGCCAAGGCTTTTGATTATAGCTAGAAGTCATACCAGGAGATTTGTGAATTTGGAGAAGATAGTGAAGATGGGAGAGAAGTTGGGGTTTGAGGTATTGGTGGCTGAAGCAGAAGGGAATGTGGTGAGGTTCGCACGTGTGGTGAACACGTGTGATGTCATGATGGGAGTTCATGGTGCCGGGCTTACTAACCTTGTGTTTTTGCCAACTAATGCTGTGTTCATACAAGTAGTTCCATGGGGGAAGTTAGATTGGATTTCGAACACTTATTTTAAGGAACCAGCGATTAGTATGAAGCTGAAGTATTTGCAGTATGATATAAAGGAAGAGGAGAGTACTTTAATGGAGATTTATGGAAGAGATGATCCAGTGTTCAGAGATCCTTACAGTATTCATAAGCTCGGATGGGAGAGGATGAAGGCGATATATTTGGAGAAGCAGAATGTGAAGCTTAATGTGAAAAGATTTAGAGGAGTTTTGGTTGAGGCTATGAAGCTTTTGAGGCAGAGGTAGAGTTGGAGTGGCAGAGTGTATATGGAAATTGTTTTGTATTGTTTTTTTTTTCATGAATTTATTCATGTTTATTGTTACTGTACCTAGTTGAATTATACATACTGTTACAAGGAGAAGTGTGAGGAAGATAAGAAAATGTATTGATCTGAATAAAAAAGCTGTGAAAATCATACATAATAGCTATAAGATCTATCTCTTATTAAAAGGAGATGGAATCAATGCATTGAGAAATGGATAGTTTAAAATAAACAGCATTAATATCCTTTGAGTTTTGTTGGCTAAGATCTAACCCAAATTGTTTCCAATCATCTATGGGCTTTAGAACAACTTGGCTCTCAATTATATTGATTGGTGTTTTATATCATTTCAATATAGTATCCAAATATTGTCACTTTATTGTAAGCGAATATCATTCTTTCTCTAAACAAAGGTGGTTGTGTAGTAGGTTGTTCTTCTAATTCAAGATCTAAAGAAAAAATTTACGATGTATGTGTATATTTGTGGATCATTATTGGATGTTAAGTCAAGTAGCGTTGAGGCTCTGATACCAATTAAAGCTCCAAAGGAGGAGTGAATTCGGTCTTTTAAAAAGTAAGGTATTTTAATTAATCTATCCGTTAAACTTAATTTTGAATTAATGAAGGAAACAAGATAATAGTTCAAGCATAGCAAATGAAGTTATAAAATAAATAAAAAATTTATGTGTATATAGTTTGACCCAAACTGACCTATGCCTACACCTAAGCATCCTATAAACTTAGGATTTCTCTCCCTCTTTCAATCACTTAATTCTTCACCCACAAGTTGATGGAGGAATCACGATAAACTTCTTACACTAAAGGTAAGAGGACCCTCACTTTGTTTGTGGATAGGGCAACTCATCTAAGCCTTCTCCAAGAGATATATTATAAGGATGAGAAAAAATAAAATAAAAATGCATTACAAATTATATCTTAAGCATATAAACATGTTAGTAAAGGATAAAGAGTGATGAAACAAGTTTTTGACCTTTGATCCCTATGATTCTAAAGCCCTTCTTTGTTGTGTAATAAATATCTTACTATGAAAAAAAAAAACTATTTCCTCTTTTGTGTCAACTGGTTTATAAAGTTAAAATTTGTGAAAAAGTTTGGTATTTATAAAAGACCCCTATCAGTCATCTCATGTCTTAACAAGGTAAGATAGAGGCAACAAGAAAGAAAATGAGTGTACAAAATAACTTTTTGAAGAAATGATCACCCATTAAGATGGATTAATAATAAATTGATATAAATTCATAATAAGTTGTAAATAAGTTAATGATGATCGATTAATATTTTTCAATGTGCTACAAATAAGTTTTCATAGCATTGCAAAGGGTTTATGGCTAACCACTAATTAGTGGCAACCGATAATTACTTAATTAATGGTATCCCATAAATATTGATGTTAAATGTTAATATTTTAAAATATTTTTTTGGGTATATTATCACAAAATAAGTTTAATTCTTAGCTTAAATAATGAGTTTACATATTATAAGAATATAAGTAGTTTTAAAATGTATATAATTTAATAGTTTAGTATTTTGAGAGCTTCAGCTTGAGCACTCTAAGAACTCAACTCAATGTCATTTACAAATGAAGTAAAACAAATAATATTTTCTAATTCTAGAGCAACTTCATATATATAAGCCTTTTGTTTGGTCAAAATAATTTGAAAAAAATATATCAACCCTAGATCTAATCTAAACATATCCCTCTACCACCATAACCAAAAATCCTTCCTCTAAAGCCGAACATCTCTCTCATGCCCGCTATCTAAATTGGGTTCAACATGGCCTAGTCTTGAAATGAAATTTAGAAAAAAAAGTATTAAAGTATATCAAAAAATCATGAAACTTTCCATAATTCTAATAGATGCATCTTCCTAAAGTTTCGAAGTACTTCCAAGCCTTAAAACCACATCCAAAAACCTAAAGTTAGATGTAGGATTTTCTATTCCAAGTGATGTCCTCACTTACACTACAGGAAAAATGGCTATTACTGGCGGTTCAACCGCCGTCTTTTAATGGCGGTCTGCCGGTGTTTTTTATACGTTAAATCACCGGTATTAACGGCGGTCCAAAAACCGCCGGAAAACCACCGGAAAACCGCCGGAAAATCGCCAGACTCTAATATGAACTGACGGTTCTACGGTGGACATCCGGCGGTTTAGATCGTCGGTCATACCGACGGCTCGACCGCCGGCTATCGCTGGTAAATTAACCGGCGGTCTACCGGCGCTTGCCGGCGGTTTAAGAAACAAAACTCAATGTCATTTACAAATGAAGTAAAACAAATAATATTTTCTAATTCTAGAGCAACTTCATATATATAAGCCTTTTGTTTGGTCAAAATAATTTGAAAAATAGATATCAACCCTAGATCTAATCTAAACATATCCCTCTACCACAATAACCAAAAATCCTTCCTCTAAAGCCGAACATCTCTCTCATGCCCGCTATCTAAATTGGGTTCAACATGGCTGAAATGAAATTTAGAAAAAAAGTATTAAAGTATATCAAAAAATCATGAAACTTTCCATAATACTAATAGATGCATCTTCCTAAAGTTTCGAAGTACTTCCAAGCCTTAAAACCACATCCAAAACCCTAAAGTTAGATGTAGGATTTTCTATTCCAAGTGATGTCCTCACTTAGTCAATACCAAATCTTTCTATTTACCCTAGAGTATGTAATAACCAAGGATATATGAGCTGGTCTACTTGTGTTAACCTGAGTCGGACCTGATAAGATTTTTTAGTTTGTTTAAATTTATATTAGTTTTTGTGTATATAAAACCAATTTTCCATTTCATTTTAGCTAGTATGCATGCATTTGTGGGTTGAACTGAGAAGTTAGAAAACCATGTCTTAGAATTTGCTTGGGAGCACTATGGTGCTATTATGATAGTGTTGTAGCACTGAGCTCTCTATTTGGGGTCGAGTTTAAGGTAGAGTACTAGTGGTGTTGGGAGGCATCGCTAAGGTGTTGTACTCTTTATCTTGGAGCGTTGGTGAGGGCGTTGGTTCAAAATATAGTTTTTATATAAATATCTAAAATCACAAACTCAAAAATGCATTCATCCCCATTTCCTTCAGTGGTAAAGAGGAGAAGAGAGAAAGAGAGTGGGGAGGAAGAAGAAGAGAGGTTTTGGATGCTTTGAGCCATTTTTGTTTGTCGAGCTTTCTTATGAAATTGATCAGGTCGAGATAGGCTATAACACCCCAGAATCAAATTTAAAAGAATTTTACATTTTATTCTCTTAATCAATCAACCAGAGTTTTTATAAATGATCAAAATAATAAATCTATACATTAAAAGCAATTAATAATTATATACCTTAAAATATTTCACTATATTCATTCTCCCAAAATCAATAAATAATAACCAAGATATCAATATAATTACTATTCTATGACAAACTCGTGACTATAAAAGAATAAGAGAAAATACAAACAAAATTAAAAGAAAATCGAAGGATATTTATCAACTCACTCCAACTGATCCTGACCTCTTCCATGACCTGAAATAATAAAAATTCATATAATAATCATAAAAACCTAACAAGTAACTAAAATTCTATCTTTGCTTTCAATGCAAGATAAAAGAATCAATATGTATGTTCAGTTCTAGTCAACATTAATCATCCCCATTTATACTGACATAGATCAATTTTTTAAGGATTTATATTAGTGTTCAAAAATTACGAAAAAATTATTATAAATAAAACACAATAATATTTATTCTATGAAGAAGATGGATTGTGATTTAGACTTAAAATGACTCCTAAAAAATATTTATTTTGATCATAATATGGGTTATTACATAGGATATGTTCTATATACTTTAGATTTTTAATTTTGGTATTTGTATGGTTATATTTGAGATTTAATTTTATGTGATTTTTTAAAGTTTGGTAAACTTTTCAATGAATGTTGTAGAATATAACATTTTGAATATATGGATAATAAAAATACAAAGTTTCACTTATTGGTTATATATATATATATATTCAATTCCAAAAATCATCTATTCATAAAAATATAAGTTTCACTTATTGATTTTTAATAAATAATAACCAGAGATATCTAATATCATCTATTCATAATAAATAAAAAAATATTAATGCACACATCTATATTCATTTCCAAAAATTATATACAATACTCAAGATTTATATAATCATATCACAACTACTCTATCCTTATTATAAAATAATAATTAAAAGAAATAGAACCTAAAGAATCTTGACCAGCCTCACCCTCCTAAGAAATAGAACCTGAAGAATCTTGACTAGCCTCACACCCTTATTTACCTTCCCTAACCTGAAATCATTTAATCACATATAATGAGCTTAAAAAACCCAACATGTCACCAAAATCTATAGCTAAATTCAAAGTATAGTAAATGACCAATATGCTTATCAATAATCAAATCATAGCAGCTGCATCCATATAATCATTGAATAAGTATAGAAATAATAAAATTTACATATAATAGTAGAATCTATAAATAATAAAATACTACAATATATAAGCCAATAAAATAATTAACTAATACGAGTATCAAATCTATAAAGCAATCATCATATTCGTAATACCAATTAATAAAAAAATTAGATAAATCAAAATATTAATAAAGACTGTTAAAATCATGTCGATATAATAAAATCATATAAGAGTCTAAACATTCTATCCATGTATTTGATATCATGTTCTCAGTATATCACATGTATAATATCAGTAAAGTAAACCAATAGTATCAGTATCCAGATCGATAATAATAACAATACAGTGACATAAATAATAGAATAATGGAATAACAATAAATTTGTCCAATGCAAATAAATCTATGCAATAATAAGAATAATATCTCAAAACATGCATTTCAATAGTCACATTAAACAAGTAAGAAGTCCTGACTATCACGGTATTTTTCAGTATTAGTATCAATGTTAGTAAACTGTTGGCTCAATAAATAGAGTCGTCACTTTTTGCCCATCGGCATAATAATGATTGCCTTATAACTCTCAATCAGTGTATTACGTTAATTAGTATAATATAACACCAAACCATAATATTTAAAGGAAAATCTGTCGACCCACTATCATGTACAGGTCAATTAGTCTCCAACCAACGGGTCAACGAATATTTACTTATTTGTTTCACATATGCACATTATTATCACAATAATATAACAATAATAGCGACAAGCTATTACTTGCAACTA